AAAAAAAAAAAAAAAAAAAAAAAAAAAAAAAAAAGAGCACCGGCAACATTTTCCCAGTGAAAACAATAAATATTCAGCATTTGTAGAGTTCTTCCTAAACATGCCGTGCAAACAGAAGTCAATCCTCCCGGCACCTTTCTGAGATATTTTATAAATGGGGAAACGAAGACGAACCAAGGTTTTTTGGCTGTGGTCTTGTCTGAGGGCGCCTGAACCTCAGACCCTCATCTGAAGCAACCAAACAAGCTATTTTCAATTCTTTTAGCCCAAATCACATGCCAAGGCAACACGTGAGGGCAGTGCCAGGAGGGAGGGCTGGGGCCCAAGCGCAGGGACTCACATTCATTCACTGAACCCCACCAGTTACCGCCTCTGATGCTGGAGCAGCATTTCAGGGCCCCCCCTATCACCCCCTCGCCCTCCATCAATGAGGTTTTGGGTGAAATTCCTCTGCAGTGAGGCTCTCGGGGTTTCCATATCCTTATGGGAGGAGGCAAATCCCGGATCCAGCCCCCCAAAGCCCATGCAAATACCGGTTGTGACCGATGTTAAAAAGGTACTTCCATGCCTTTTGCTAGGTCTGAACGCAATTTTTGGACAGCAGGGCATCCTGCTAGCGTGCAGCAGACCTACACGGCTGTGAGGGATGTGTGTACTTGCTCGTAATTAAGTACAACCCCACGCTGAGGCATTTCAGTCCTTTTTTCCCCCCAAGCAGGGACACAGCAGTGCAGGCACCGGCCATACCCAACGCTGCAAGCTTGCTATCTCAGTCAAGGGGTTATACGCTTTGGAAAAACCGTTAAGGTAGTTCTAAAGAGGAAAATATTCTTTTCTTCACCTACGATTGCCCCTGAAGCTGTGCAGGGATTGCACCCTACCATCACCCACACCACCAAGAAACACTCGGGGTGCGCCGGGCGGTGCGGGAGCCTCGGCAGCCTTCGCCCTTCGCAGGCAGGTGTGTTCCCGAAGAGGGGGCGCCCCCGACTGCCCTCCCCGAGTGCTGCTGGGTGCGTGGGACCCTCCACAACACTCACTTCTGCCATAACACCCAAAATCCCAGCGCCCGGACACACGACTTACCAGCACGAGAGGCTGTTCCACCCAAAAGCCCTGGGAAAGGAGATGAAGAAACGATTTTTTTTTTTTTTTTTCTGCATGGAGATTGGCGTTTCAATTTCTTTGCGATGTTTGCATGCTCTTTCTGCGAAGTAGAACTGCAGCCTTCTCCTGTTTTGCTTTTAAGCTGTAATGTGCACTTTTGTGGTGACCTCAAGATGAGAACTGGGAGTGTTTGACCCAACCCTGAGCAGGGAGGCTGGACCAGATGAGCTTCCAGTCTGCATTAATCCATGATACTCTTAATCCGTGATACTCTAGCTCCCGTGCATGCACAGCAATCACTTTTCCAATTTAATATCCTTCTATTTTTCATTTAATGATGTGTATCAAGAAAATATGATCTATAAATTTATAATACGTACATATATGACACTATTTATCTGTAACAACCAGAGCATTATACAGAAAATATTGTAAATTTTTAACGACCCAGTGCATAAACAGACCTTTTGAGGAACTGTGAGCGAAATAATGGGAGAACATTCCACCACTTACCCGTGCTGAAATGACGCTGCCCCGGGATTTAGGTCTCTTGAACCCTCCAGGCAAGGGGAAATTGCTGAAAGCCCAGCCCAGCCCATCGCGCCAGCGATAGGGTTTGGGGAGCGCGTGCTGCCGGGGCCGCCAAAGGAAGCGTCACCAGTACACAGAGGAAATGTCACCTACAGGCCCCTTCACCCCCCCCCCCCCCCCCC